CTCTTTACTCCTGAGCTGTGATCGAGATGCTAAGATGGTTACCACTCTTCGACACTAAATGACTTTATTTGGATAACTATGAAATTTAATTATAAAACCAATCAACAAAAACAATCGTGTATTTATAACAATAATAAAATGTCATTAGAAGTTAAAACAAAACACATTTATTCAAATCTGAATACACAAATAATCTTAAACCCAATTATGACCAGTCCTAGAGGTGGGGTTATCTTCTGAGGTTTAGTTATGGAAGCGTTAAAACTAAACTGCCGTCCTGGGTATGACGATAATCTACATCCGCATCCAGGGTAAGACGATAAATTACATCCACGTCCATGGTAAGACGATAAACTACATCCGCGTCCAGGGTAAGACGATAAACTACATCCACGTCCAGGGTAAGACGATAAATACGTCCAACAGCAAGGCCTCTGATCAGGATGTTTTGAGGAGCGTAGAACCACCTCTTAATTGCTGGTGTTCCCAGGTCCACCCAGACTCGGGGTGGTAGCACCTGTTGGGGTTCCAGTTATAGGCAAATAGTTAAAGCCCAGGCTACATCTGCGTCTTGATAATGACGATAAACTCTGATAATATGTTTTTGAAAAAATAATGTTGACAGCTGTACGTTTTTAAAAAAATAATATTACCAGCTATATGTCTTTGAAAAAATAATATTACCAGCTATACATTTTTGAGGAAAAAATATTAAAAGAAATAGATTTTTGATAAAACAAAATTACTACCAAGATAAAAAATAGTTGTCGGGATTAAATGACCCATTGAGGTTGATATGCCGTAAAACAATCCAAATCATCTCAAAACTAAACTACTCTTCATTAATCATCTGAGAGACCCCTCTCTGCCTTCCACCAGTATGGCTGATGCTGTCCTTCAAGAAAGTGGTACATTGTGCCTTCTTGGACTAACGTTCTCAACTGACATGAGGTGGAATGGCTATATCAAATCCATCGCTATATCAACTGCTAAGAAAGTCGGTGAACTGTGTCCGGCGAGGTAATTTTTCTCTTTGGAATCTTACATATATATGTCTAACCTTCGTCCGAGCTTAGAATTTGGAAGCACGGTGGAGTAATGGATAGCGGCTTGGATTGAGGAATCGGAGAGCCGAGTTCGAATTCCAGTCGAATCCATTACATTCACTTACGTGCTAACACCCTTGGGAAAGGTGTGAATCCTCTTTCTTCTCCCTCCAGCTATGGGTAAATAGCAGGACAGACTGGGTTCTATAGCCTTTGATGGCAACTAGTCTAGGAGAAGGAAAACTCTGAATTCAAACCTGCTTTTAGAGGAGGGTGAATGGAGTCTCTCTCAGCCTTGGTTGGCAATCCATTTAGTGTTGGTGTCACGATAAAAACACCCTTGATAGCCCTAGCGAAGCATCAAGAATTCAGCTATTTTGACAAGATTATGAACTACACCAATCAAAGTATTGGTGAGTTCAATCTCGGCTGAGGCCGCAAGATGATGATGAGAATGTTGCTGCCATATATCGTCTGGTGTCCCTGCTATTTACCTGGAGTTCCTTGATAAGATCCAAAGAAAAATCAGCAATATTATTGGCCCTGATCTGGTGACTCGACTTCAGCCACTTGCCCACTGCCGTAAGGTTGACTCTCTGTGCCCTTTTTTTATAAATACTTTCATGGTAATTGTTTAGATGAGCTCTATGAGCACTATGGTACCTAGACCAGATGAATTTAAGCGCAATACTAGACAATCGAGATCTCATCAATTTACAGCAGAACTGGCTAGATATAGCCGTAAGTTCTATGCTAATAGTTTCTTCTCTCGAACTTCCCGCTTGTGGAACTCCCTTCCGGTTCTATGCTTTCCAGCCAATTTTAATCAGCAAAAATTTAAATGCAATATCAATCGCTATCTTCTGTCCCCCTGATTGCTCTTTTCTCTTTCTTCTCATTACTAATGTTTCTGTTCTTAATTCTTTCACACCCTGTAACCCCCTGCGTGCTTGTGGCTGTACTGCTTTGCTTGGGGTGACACCGTTTAAAAAAAAATTATCTCTTCCGAAGTGATTAATCTGACGTACGAGGTGTTCCTAAAACGGTAATGACGAGATAGCTTGGGCTTATTTTTTAATTTAGTCTTATATGCGCGTAGAACTCTCATTTTAAGCTCGGCTTTGTTCGCATATTCCGTTCGATTCATTACGAATAAATAGAACTTACATTTTTACGCAGGCTTTCTAATTAAAACAAGAAAATTCTGATAGATTTTCTGGAATTAATGTAGAAATGCGTCGAATGGTTTTTAGAAGTGATGCTGATAGGGTTCAGCGTTTTACTTGGACACGAAGGGGAGCATTTTGAACGTGTTAAATAGTTTATCATAACAAACTGTGTCTGGGCACTATGACATGACGTGGTGTAATGGTTAGCAAGCGTGTTTTACTAGATTAATTATGTGTGAATTGTGAGTTCAATGCTTGCTGTGTTCCATATTTTCGGCCTGGTGCCATTTCTAAGCCTCGCTTAAAACCCTGCATAACAAATCATGTTGCTTTGATATGACAATATTTATAAATTTTCTACTGTAATCTATTTTTGTTCAGTAAAAGTTAATAAATAAATAATGTCGTTACTTTTACAATATATCTGTGTGTGTGTGTGTGTGTGTGTGTGTGTGTGTGTGTGTGTGTGTGTGTGAATAAAAAAAATTGTGGATTTAGAGTAATCATATAATCAATTCATCGAGCCCAGAATAATCTTCAACAGTATGCAGAAGCACTGGCCTCGGTGACGAAGAAGACACAAACTAGACTCAATATCCACTCAGGCAGCGATACTCATCCAAGTATACGGATAACCTCGGAACGGTGCCCCAAGAGCCATGTTATATATATATATATATATATTACGAAATGTACTAAGTTTGACAATTATTTTAATATATTTTTTCCTTGTACGTTATTTATATGCACAAATATTTAAGTAGATGCTCCGGTTATAATAAACAGTATTAACAACATTTAGCGGCCTGAATGTACGAGAAATTTCACAGAAAATATTTGTCCTTCGACAGGAATCGAACCTGTATCCTATACGGAACCGTCATATAACCTGACGTGCATTTACCGATTGAGCCACAGAGGAGCGTTTCGGTTAGCAATGTCAATTTTACTGTTTTTAAATAGTCATATGCCTGACGTGTTATACTAGTTTAGCTACGAAGGCCACGTTTGATTAGCAAGGTCGAAATTTGTAGTTTAAAATGCAGTAAATCGACCTCAGTGAGGATCGAACTCACTATTCATTCAGTCGTAATTAATCCATTCCCGAACGCATTAGCCATAGTTAATCTTTGGCCATCTTAAACTATTGTAATTTATTTTTCTTCAATAAAATTTAATAAATACAAATAGGCGTTACTTTTGTCGCACCCATTATTTCAAATCAAAGCAAAAGAAATTTGTTAGTAGGATAATAGCTCTAAAAATATCCATGTTGAGTGAATCAGATAAAAAAAACTTAACATTTAACCCTCTTTTTTTTATCTGTCTCCCTGCTTGCATTGTGGGCAGTGAAATATGGTTTACTTGTACGCGTTCTTGAAATTTTATATCCTTTTTTAAATACCAAAGTGTACTGTATTCTGACACATTTGAAATAAACTTCTGAAAACAAATCTAATATATGCAATAGTCGCAGTAGCATGAATTGTATTGGTTATAAGGGAAAACCACGATTTTATAAGATACTTATTAAAGAAGAATTTGTTTTAATATACCTGAGGAACAGAGTAACTCACAATGGAAAGGATATATTTACGTATGTATTTGTTTAAATTTGATGTAACTTCCTTACTAACAGCTCAAGTAAACCCTGAAGGATCTTTTCTGTTAATTTACCTCCAAAATAATATTTACTAAACTTAAAAAAAAAAACTCTTCCAGATCGAGGTCCTTCCGTTGCACTACGATTGGGTTGACCTTTGAGATCGCCCCAAATATGGGCGCCTCGAGTGTGTTATTTCACTTATTTCTAAGTTTGGGATCTGGATTTGTGCCCACCCCGATAAACAAGGCAAAATCAGAAAAAGAAAGTACCTCGAATATCATCAGCACTTACGAAATGTGAATAACTCCTCGATTTTTGGTAACTTTTCATTCTGTGGGTTGGAGGTGGTGCGAAGCAACCTGAACAAATTTTGATTTAAAATTTATAATTTCAAAAGAGTGCCAAAAATTGAATAAAAAAAATCAAACATACTTTGATTTAAAATTTATAATTACTTGCTGTGAATTAATATTTGCGAGAACTAACTTTGCATTATTTGGAGTGGATTAGCAGAAAAAGATCCAACCCCGACTCCACTCTTGTCAATATAATTGTTCAAAACCCGACTGCGCATACAACACTATAAAATTGCTTTTTTTTTTAATTTATTTTTTATTCTAGTAATTACAGGTACTAGACTGACCGCTACTGAAATGTTTTTTTTTTTTTTTTTTACTTTCGTTCTTTACTTTTTTTGTGTGTATGTATTTTTTATTATTGTTTCAGTTTTAAAATTAAAAAGTTGGTTAGTCCGCAACGATCCCAGCAAGCGCGGTTCTTGAGCTAGAATTACGGGCCTCTCGACCAATTAGTCTCCTTTCCTATGACTGTAGTCTAATCTGCTTTGTTTGCAAGCAAAGTAGTTGCTTCGATGTTACTCTCGGCGCTGATAACAATAGTGCGCCAGTAGTTATCGATTAGTTGTTAATTGGACCAACATTTTTTCCACATGCGCCTTGCCCCAGTTTTTCGAATCGACAGACTGTTATAAAAAACATGCACATGAAAAAAAGCAGAAGAAAGAACATGCATTAACATTATACTAAAGCGTATGTTATCTCAAATAATATATTGTGCGTAGACTATTTGAACTTTAGCAGTATTCATCAGTAACTTGATGGTAGGATAAGTCAAATAACAAAACTTAGTGGCATCTTTCTCGGTTCGTTTGCCTCTCTTATGCTCCTACTTTTCTCCATATGTCTTTACCATTTCGCATTCTCCCTCACACGTTCTTCTTTCCTTTCTTCCAACCTTACTCTTTCTTTCTTCCTCCTCTTGATACCAACTCTTCTTCCTCTTGCACTTTCTCTCTGTTTTTCACTTTTCTTCTTACTCTCTTATTTTCTACTCTCTTTCTCCTTACTCTCCTTTTGTTTCTCCTTACTCTCCTTTTGTTTCTCCTTACTCTCCTCTTGTTTCTCCTTACTCTCCTCTCTTTACTCTTGCCTACGTTCTTTCGCGTTCTACTTCCTCCTCTTCAAGTCTTTTTTTTTTTTTTTTTTTTTTTTTTTGCAAGTTCTTTGTTGAAAATCTCTTTCTCTCTTATTTTTTTTATTCCACCGCTACCAGTTGGTGTTGTTGGTAACCAAATTTTGCTCTGTTAGCGACACCAGATTGCATGGTGCGTACTATGAATTTTGGTGGTTTATTAGTAGGTACATAAAAAATACAAGGGACCAAAACTAACTAACATCATCCACGAAGCTAGCCTTTAATTTCTTACAGGTGCCCTATGTCTATATCGAAGGTTCTTGCGTTGTTTTGCATAAATGCAGGTTCCAAGGGCCAACCACCTGATCCACATACTCGGACCGCTAACTATTCAAATGATGTATTCATGTTCTTCCTTTAAAAAATAAAAAAAAATAAGAGTAGTCACTACGTGTGATTTTTTTTTTATGCGGGCAAAAAATTTCTTTGAAAGGTTGAAATCTACATAAGTCGAAAGGTTTATTGTATTTTAAGGCACACGTGTATCTTATAGGTGTAAAGATATATTCTTACTACTTCTATAAACGTCACACCACAAAAAAATAAGTGTTTTCTATACTTATTTAGTCTATACTTATTCAGGGATGAGTCTATTTGAATGGTCAGTAATAGATAAATATGGATGAGGTAGGGGGGTGTTGGTTGAAAAAATATAGAAATCAAATGGAAAATAAAAAATATTGGTATTTTCTAAGTAGCTGTAGTAGAGAACGCTCTCTCTCTCTCTCTCTCTCTCTCTCTCTCTCTCTATCTCTCTCTCTCCTTATCTGTCTGCCTATCTATTTCTTTCAGTATAGTCTGTCTGCCCCCTCTCTCTCTCTCTCTCCCTCTCTCAGTATAGTCGCTGTTTCTCTCTCACTCTCCCTATCTATCTATTTCTGGTTCTCTATCTAT